CATGCATCATTCGATTATAATCAAACAATAAAGCATCCAAAACTTCATACAAGAAAGATCCTAACTCATGGAACTAGGGTTCCTCAAAACCTAAGTGAAAGGAAGTTACTCCATAGAGAAGAGAGAGACTGCAGAAATCTGATCTAGATCTTCAATCTCCATCTCCAAGCTTGATTCTCGAGCTCCAATGGCGAAGAAATCCTCCAAAATAGCTCCAAGAATGTTCCCAAGTCGCTCTCTCTCTCTAGGGTTCGTCCCTTGGGTGTTTGGGATCCAAAACCCAGCTCTCCCTCTTTCCTTTTGCTGAAAATCGGGTTTTAAACAGCAATTCCCGACTCACACGGCCAGGCCACACGGCCGTGTGGCTTTCCCAGCTGCCCGTGTGAGCCCTCGGTGATTTCCACACGGCCATATGGCCAGTTCACACGGCCGTGTGGGTCGTGCCCGTGTGGCTTGCTCAGCCTCTATTTAATGCTTCGTTTCTCCCTCGTCCGGACTCCGAATCAGTCCCCGTTTGATCCCAGACGCTCGTAGTCTCGTCCTCTTTCTTTTCATAACAAGCTTTCATGATTATTTGTCCATAAAGTAAGGTAGAAATCCATTCTTCTTCAGGTCATGCCCGAGATTCTTCTCCCGAATCGTCAATTGATCTCTGATTGATTTGAAACTTGCGCCTATGCTTCACTTTATGTGCTAGGACCTGAAATGTGACAAAGGAACATAACCTAGCATAAAATAGGCCAAAGACACGATAATTCAAGCTCAAACAATCAAGAAACAAAGGGGAAAACATGTGCAATTACCGAGTCATCAACCTCCCTAGCAGGGGATAACAGAACAATCCCACCAGCCGAATGCGACCCCTGCCGAATCGCCCCATCCCACATACAGACAACCCCCCTGGACTATTCCAACCCTATACTATCCCCCAAAGGGACCGAAGAATGGAGAACCTTATCCACCGGAAGTTGAACCCATTCCTCATATTGCTGATTAAACTGCCGCATCAAGGCAGGGAACCCAAACTGTTTGCCTTCAAAGACCACCCCAATTACGAGAGCGCCAAATCCGCCAAAGGACAACAACCACCGCCATGAACAATTGGGGATGGTGAACCAAAGCCATCAGCTTTTTGAGAAACAACGGGAATGTGTGCCGAGGCAACCCCTCCCCTACGTGTTCCAGTCCCGAGTAGTCCCACAGAGCTCGCGCCTCCGGGCAGTAAAGAAACAGATGCTCCATCGTTTTCGGGCTCTCCCAGCAAACCAGACATCTAGGGAGCACATGAACTCGTTTACTAATAAGGGCCTCAGTAGTTGGTAAGATTCGATTGAGAATCTGCCAGACAAAAACTTTTAGCTTAGGGAGGATATTCGCTTCCCACAAACGGACCCAACTAGCCTTGTCCATCCAACTGACCGTGACCTTCCAACAATCTCTCCGCTTGTCTAAAGCAACCGCCAAATGGTAGGCATATTTGACAGAGAACAGCCCATTCGCCGTATCATGCCAAATTAACCTGTCCTCCACATTCTGGTGAGGAAGAGGAATCGCTTTGATGACCCGACAAGATGGAGGGTCAAACAACTGACTTAGTTTTTGGTCATCCCAACGCCCTCCCCCTGGCAAATGACCTCAGCTACAGGTGGATCCCCACCCTCAGGAATGATCATAGGATTAAATATCGGGGGATCGAGCTGGAATTTCGGGATCTAGTTGGAATGCAGCAAAGAAGCAGATTGCCCATTACAAATTTGCCATCTTAAGTCCTTCTCTAATAACTGACGACCATTTGGGAAATACTTGTCTTTGTAGACGTGAGCGAGAAGGGACTGCGGTTCATTGAGGTTGCGCTAGCCAATTTTGGCTAAGAGCGCCTGGTTAAATTGTTCAAACCGTCGAAACCCCATCCCTCCATCATGTTTGCTTCTGCACATATTCCGCCAGGACATCCACTGAACCCGAGGGTTACCCTCAGAATCACCGCACCAGAATCGCGCCACATGCTTATCTAGAATACGACATAGGGAGACAGGAAGCTTGAAACATGACATAACGTGCAGAGGCAAAGCCACGGAAATCGATTTGATCAGCATTTCCTTAGCCGCCCAAGATAACGTCCTCTGTTTCCACCCCTGGAGGCCTTCTAACAACTTTGCCTCCAAGAATCAGAAATTCGCCGTTTTAGATCAAGCAATCAGCGTAGGTAGGCCTAGATACTTATCATGGACACCCACCGCCCCCACCCCCAGAACTGCCGCCAGAAATTCCTGATCCTTCCGCACAATATTTTTACTGAATCATATCACAGATTTAGCCAAGTTTACCTTCTGGCCACTCAGTTCCTCATAGTCATTCAAGACCGCCATCAGATTCTCACATTCCTGAAGGGTGCCTCGTAAAAATAAGTACGAATCATCCGCAAAAAACAAGTGCAAGATCCTAGGGGCCCGAGGAGCTACTTTTACACCCTCAAGCCTCTTTTCAGTAATAGCCTTCCGAAGAAGGGCCGAAAAACCTTCCGTACAAATCATAAAGAGGAGAGGGGAGAGGGGATCGCCTTGTTGCAACCCCCTGGAAGGGGAAAAGTAGCCCGATGGAGTTCCATTCATAAGTACTGAGAACGATGATGACCTGAGACACTCCTGAATCCATCCTTGCCAGACGGAATTAAAGCCCATCTTGTCTAGAACTGCGAGAAGAAAGGGCCATTCGAACCTATCATAGGCCTTTTCCATGTCAACCTTTAAGGCCATGTACCCTTTCTTACATCGCGTTTTAATTTTCAAGTAGTGCATTAACTCATGGCCCAGGAGGATATTGTCCAAAATTTGGCGTTCACGTATTAAGGCATTCTGACCTTCTGAGAAGACTTGTGGCAGGATGTAGGCCAGCCTTTCCGCCATGATCTTAGTGATCACTTTATAGACAAACTAACATAAGCTAATTGGCCGTAATTGTCTCATAGTTTCCACATTTTCTACCTTTGGGATCAACGTGAGCCAAGTATGATTGAAACTGCGCAGCATCCTACTCGTAGCAAAGAAGGAACAGACCGCATCGATAACCGAGGTACCCACGATATCCCAAAAGGCCTTAAAAAACTTCCTAGTGAAACCATCCGAACCGGGGGCCTGTTTAGAACCCATAGCAAAGACTGTTTTTCGCACCTCATCGGGGAGCACCACAATAGTAAGGGTGTCATTCATTGCTGGATTAACACTCTGAGCAATTGGTAACGCAGCCACCCGCTCAGCCATGTTCACAACTTGGTTTTCAGTGGTAAAGAGATGTTGATAAAAGGATGTCGCCACACCAGCCTTCCCAGGTTCGTCGGTGACCCACACCCCCTCATCATTCTGGAGACCGTCCACAAAGTTCCTTTTACGGCGAGTCCTGGTCACTATATGAAAATACAAAGTATTTTTATCACCCTTTTTTAGCCATTTGACCCTGTACTTCTGCTGCCAGTACAGCTCCTCTGCCTCCCATTGCCGATTCAACTCCACTTATAAAACCCGGACCGCTTCCCAATCGATTGGATGGGAAGCTTTTATCCGGTCGATTTCGCCCTGGAGAATATTAATATTCCGTAAAGAGTTGGTAGTCCCAGCTCGACTCCAATCATATAATAAGTGTCGCAGCCTCTTGAGACGTTCCCTTAGGCAAAACATTGGAGTACCCTGAATATCCTCTTTCCAGACAAAATTAACCATCGCTCTGACCTCAGGGTTATTTGCCCATCGGGCATCAAACCTAAAAAGAGGGCGTTAATTTCTAGCATAGGGTCTATCAGAGAGAAGAAGAGCTCGATGATCAGACCCTTGGTTCGTGAAGTGCTTGACCAAGGTCTCCGGGAATCGGTCCATCCAGGATTGGGAGCAAAGAGCCCTATCCAGACGTTCACGGATACAAGCTGCACCCATCCTCTTATTTGTCCAGGTGAATTGGTCCCCAAGGAATCCTGGATCATGGAGCCCCAGCTCGTGAACAAAGTCTCGTAGTCTATTCGTCTGAGCGGCGTTCCAAGGGTTACCACCGTCCTTCTCATTCTCATGGAGGGTTGTATTAAAATCGCCAATAACAACATAGGGAAGGTGGAAAGTAGAGCAGAGCTCCTGGAGCTGAGCCAATTGGGAGGTTCTGATCGTGGCATTACAACTAACGTAGGCAGAGACCACAATATAAGAAAAATCCATTTCATTAATCCAGGAGCAAATACAGAAATTGGAATGATAAAACACCGAAGCATCTACTCAGGGGGACCAAGCTACTACTAACCCACCAGATGAATCAACAGCATCCACAAAAAAACAATTGGAAAGAACAAAACTTAAACCCCGCATATGACGGGAGACGACACGCCGGCTCGATCGTGTCTCCGAGAAGAACACGCGATCCGGTTTATTAGAACGAACTAAACCGAAAACAGTTTAAAATGTGAGGGATGGTCCAATTCCTCTCACATTCCAGGCCAAAAGTTTCATTTATCTGACTGGGGCCATTCTAGGCTGGCTTCCTCCACCCTTTCCAGATTTTCAGCAACTTCAACGAATTGTTTTTTTGGCGTGGGTATGTCACCCATGTCGCCCTCTATAGCCTCCAGTGGGCGCTTGCGCGTCCCAATATCTGGATTCAATAAGTTTGACTCATACTCATCCAGCTGTGAGCCAACCTCTTAGATCATAATCTGCTCCTCCCGATTCGGAATATCATTTCCCATATGCTCCTGTGAAAAGGGCTGCTTTACAGAATTGATGGTAAGTCCAGGTTTAACACGCCCCTTTGTAGTAGCACCAGTTTCTTTGGCGTGGAGGAGGGAATCCTTTTTTTAATTTCAAAGCATTGAACATACTCCTCCGAATCCGAATTCGCAGAGACAAGGGCCTTTATCACTTCAGCATTGGGAGCCGAAACCTGGACCTTCCCAACTGCTCCATCAAGCCCCGTAGGCCGAGACCGCTCCGGCCCAGCAGCTCTCCCCTTCTTCGGGCCATTAGTCAGCTTACCGCCCCTCCCCACAGTGCCATGGGCTTTCCGCAACTTCCCCCTTTTATCGGGCTGGGCCAAGTGTTGCTCAGGACGGGATGGATCCTGCACCTAGTGGGCCGAAGTGTTTCCATTAATGGGCTCGCTCCGTGCAGTTGGGCCGTCTCCACGACCGTCTTCCAAGTCCCCTGATGGACGACTGTTCGACCCAGCCCGCTTCTTTCCCTTTTGGAGGGGTTCTTCCTAGCAGGCCCCATATCAGTAGCCTTAGGAACCTTATCGATCTCCACGGCATCATCATCATAATCTGTTTCTAGGATGAGGCGACATCGCCGAGTATGGGCGAGAATGCCAGAAGAGTCTTCATTCAGCTCTGGTGTAATGGAAATAAGATCGCCAAGGAAACCACGATCCTTACTAACTTCAACACCCTGTATATTACGTTCTTCCTCTATACCATGTTTGCCTTGTCGTTTAATTCTTCCTCCCCCAAGGTGAATCAGTGGCGGTTTATTGAGGGAAAACCCTCGCGGACTCGTTTTCTTGCTGGGAGAGGTCCTCAAACCCTTGACCTGGCTCGGATTACTAGCTGGCAAGGATCGTCCCATTGCGAGTTGAGGAGCCGCCGCAAAATTCTTGCTAGCCACTTGCCGCTCCTAATCTCGGCCATGGATATACGTGCGAGCATTTCTTGCAAGGCCATTAATTTGGCGATTGACCCAAACCGTCTACCGAGGACCCCTTGCCTTCATGGTGTCGACCTCATCATCATAAATCCTCCTACCCAGCTTCTTTGTCGACATATGTGGGCCAAAGCGCTCTTTCCCACTAGGCGGATCAAAAGTACAGTCACATCGAGCGTGACCCACTCGACCATAATGATAACAGAAGCTCGGAAGAAATTCGTACTTCAAATTCACCCAGAAACAGCCAATATCATCACTAGCCGCCATCAGTTGGGAACATAGCGGTTTGGCAAAATCTATGACCGCACGTGTAACACCCTACCCTATACGTTTTGCCTAATCATATTGTTCATACAATTGCAGCGGAATTAATCTCGGGTGTTACATTAATTATCAAAATTTACCCAAATAAAATTTCGACATGAATTACTCGCGTAATGGGCAGTTCTTGCAACTTATCCTGCAAAATAATTCATCAGAAACATATATACTCACAACCATGTGCATTGGCTTTTCTTAGCCATAGTAACACTTTTCATACTTCACAACTGCATACCATACTTATACATACCATAGTCGTCATAACTTATACAGTTACACAACATATGCACATATCATAAACTTTCCACACCTGTGGATATCTCACACTACATCAGAAGCTAGTATGCACATGAAAAACGTTCTCAAAACATTTTTACAAAAATGTGTGGATCACTGGCCAAAATCCCGAGTAGTCGTCCAAGCACAGAATAGTTGAAGACCATACCTCATCTTGGCTTCAACTCTAGCTCCTCTCCCACCTAACACTTATCTACTGTTGCTGCTGATGATCTGCTTACACATAACATAAGTAGAGAAGAAGAATAAAAGAGGGTTAGCTCATAGCTGAGTGAGATAATCATAGCATCGTGAGTTCATAACAGAGCATACCCCTATCACACATCTAACAATCAAGCCAAAACACTAGGATTGGACCTCAGCCATCCTCATATCTCAATAGGCAAAAGACTCAACCACCTTGACTTATGCATATGCATCTTATCATGTTTTAATCATAGTCACCTGGCTACTCCCATGCTAATAACTCTCCTGGGAAACATACCCCACATCCCGTCGGATGTATTCATACATACCCCAACATCCCATCGGATGTGGTTATACATACCCCACACCACTATGGGTGTAGTCATACCCCGACACCGCTCTGGGTGTGGTCATATCTCGTAAGAATTCTTCAGTCACCACCACATGAGAGGTGTGACTATCATACATATCATAATAGAGTAATAGCATAGGGATCCCTAATTACTACGTAGTTGACCGTGAGACCACAACACTCATATTTGGTATCCTTATACATGATTCATATCTCATCTTGCTTAATCATAATTCATTACTTGCACATGTACTTGACCTGACCATAATTGGCTCAACATAGGTAAATCAGGAGTCGTATAATTGCACTTCCTCGGGATAAACCCTCGTGCAAGTCATCCTCCTTAAACATCATAATATCACCAGGGAATATATATTTTCCCACTTGTGCATCCAAATACAACAATCATGAAAAATCATACCTAATCACCTTCTCAAACCATCGTAAAGCATATTAACAGTCAAGCCTACAATTTGCAACATATACACAATCATCAGTATAAACAAGGTTCATATTGATTAGGGCAAGTCAATAATATCATACAGCAATCCAGGGTTCAACATATAGCACAAAAGCTCATACACCCCTAATTATGTCATTCTAGTTCACCTAGATCAATTCTAAGCATCAATATAATTATGGTGATACGACAAACCCGGTATGCCGTGCTAATCCCTCACCAGTTCTGGTCGTTCAAACACTGGTTTAACCTTCCCGTACTAAAACATCAATTTCACGAACGAACCCCGAATTAAAATCCTAGACCGTCCTAATATCCCTTCGCTGCAGGAAGCTCGTATATGAAATTTGGGCTCAATCCGGCTTCCGGATACTCCGAAACCCTAATTTGGCTTATCGGAAATTCAAGAAATTCCTCCCCTGCGCGCCCTCTGCTCCAGTTCTCTCGGTCCAGGAAAAGAAAGAATGAAATACTGTTAAAACGCTCCATTTTAAATCGCGAACTTTCTAGCGATCGAAATATGGGTTTTGGCGGAACGGGATGTTACAGCACGAACTTTGATAAATCGCTCCCCCTATCCTTGCAAGAAAAAGCGTCTGATTCTAAGACTTGACCAATGGTAGATGTCACGATCTTACGCCCAAAGAGCTTGGTGCAGCAGTCGTCTTTCACGCCCCAAAGTTGGATGCGGAAAGGAGCTATAGATAATTCCTCAAAGGTCTTCCAAGGAATGGAAGGAGCCCAAGCGCGAATGTTGAGGAGCTTGTCCTTAATAATCCATGGGGAACGCTTCAAAGCCCAGCTCTTTGCCTCCTCGTTTGGTAGCATGATTTCGAATAAGCCGTGGCTGGCCATGGAGACTTTCACCCGTCCCTTGATTTGCCAGGCGTCGACCAGGGCATCTCGCAGTTCCAGTGTCGAAATTTGGTCGGTTGTGAATAATCGCCCTAGAAGAGTGCGTGACGCACGAAGCTTCGTGGATTGAACCTCGTCCAGGGAGAACTAGACCACCTGATCCTCCGTCACATGAACCATATCTCGTGCCTGACAAGAAGAGGTAGTAATCAAGCAGGGATCAGTAATAAGATTATGATGAAGCAGGCCCCTCGAAAGGGGGTCAATTGACATATGAGCTGGGACATGATCATTCGACATATCGGATGGAACATGTTTTCCAGACAAAGTATAATAAACGGAATCCTTAGAGGAGGGATATAACCTAGACTTATGATCATTTTCCCCCATATCTGAGCTTGATACGGCCGTACTAGGTTGGGAGGGAGTTACTGCGAAGGAGGAACCACACAAGCGAAAATTTCCAGGTATTGGTGGTAAATCAGACGCATCAGAGGAGAGTATATAATGAGAAACGCAACAGTAGCTGCTTCTCTTGAGGTTAACGCGTTTTGTCATTTCCCGTTGGCAATTGGAGTTGTAGTGGAAATAGGAGAGCTACCACCACTCCGAATTCTGTCGTTAAGGTTGTTGGGGGAAATAAAACTGCACCAACCCCTCCCAAAAACCCACGATAAATCCGGGCTGAATCGGGTCACAACAGTTTTTTATCATGTCCCCCGATTTTGGCGTGATTTGTGTATATCCTTTGTCGGCGACCAAAGCCAGCACCCGCCTGCGGGATATCTGGTTTGGGGCGCAGTCGAATTCTTTGTTGGCCATTGCAACACCAAACAAGGCATACTCATTTTGGAACATTGAAGTCCATGATCCGATGTATTGGCATGTACATTATTCTCGCCACTTTCAGGCTGGGTTACCGGCGATTCCTCCTCACCCATCTCAGTTGCAGGTGGGAGGCATAATCGCCATCCCTTCAACGACAAAAATCTGCCTCTTTTGTTAAGGGAGAATAGGAGAGAGTCATCCTTCCCCCATGCAGCGCCTCTTTGCCGTTTCCGATGACTAAAGTCCGATTTGCGGGACGGTATGGTGTGCTTCCGATGGCAATCCGACTTTCTGCCCTATGGCGTACTCGGATGCCCGGCGCATACTCTTGTGTTCACTCCAGGAATGGTTGTTGAATGGCACCAGACGTGTGTTTGATTCTACAAACTAGTCGATAGCCAAGAAGAGATCACCTGCATTAGCCATTCTCCAAGCCAGAGTGAAATTTTGAGGAGAGAGGAGAGAGCTCCTCTCGACATGTTTTTTTTTTCAAAGTGCCCCTTACGCCTTTGGGTCTATGTACCTCACCCATAGCCTACCCATAATTATGGGTTTACTTAGATTTGGGTAAAATTACCCATTGGTGGATAAATTGCCATCCCTAGGGTGGCTAGAGGGGCAACAAAAGATTTGTTGGAGTTAAAAATAAAGGTACGGTACCCCAAACCCATATGTACCTCACCCATACCTTACCCATAATTTATGGGTTTACTTTGATTTGGGTGAAATTACCCATTGATGGGTAAATTGTCATCTCTATAGAGGGGCAACAAAAGATTTGTTGGATTTAAAGCTAAAGGTAATATTGACTTTTGCATTTGCTAAGTTCTATGAGGGTTCTAATGTGTCTTTCCTTATGGAATTATTAGCACTCCGTGATGCTTCACACTTGTGTATTTAACGCATGAATTTTTTATTATTCATTTTGTTGGTGACTCGCAAATGGTGATTCGACGTGCACTAGCGGGGAATCATTCTCATGAATTCGGTGGCATTATTTTGAAGGATATTCAAAGACTTTCACTAAGTCTGGGCTCGGTTTCATTTAAATTTGCTAAGTGTTAATGCTATAGGCCTGCCCACATCGTGGCACAAATGACCCTCTCATCGGTAGTTGGATTGACTACCGGGGTTGGTTATACTTTCCGTTCTAGGACTTTGGTTTGAATCTTTATGGATGACTTTCAAAAAAAAAAAAAAAACTAATGTAATAATAAGTAACAGTGATAAATGGGGTGAAGCACCTTGAAATACGGATAGTTTGTGAACTTTTTATTGCCTATTTGTTTTACATGGAGATGCCAAATAGCAAATTAAGTAAAACTGCTTTTTTTTTTTGGTGGAGGGATTCTAATTATAGCATTCTTTGTGGGATTTGTAATGCAACCATTCTTTTGTTTCCCCTTGTCTGTGCTCTCCCCCACTCCGGACCGGAGAGGGCAGCCAATTCGAAGCCATCCAATTCTCTTAATTATCGATTCCTCAAAACAAACCCAAAAGCAATATAGAAGAAGCTAAGGTGGGAATTAGAAAGAAAAAAAAAAAAAAAAAGAAGAAGACGCAAGGTAAGGAATCATTGGAGGAGAAGAAGAAGCGTTGCGTTAAGAACAATGTCGAGGTCGGCGTTGGCAACCCGGTCAATCTTGATTCCACTAACGATCTGTCTATTCATCGTTGCTGCTGCCTCAGGCGGCCCGAGCCTTGAAGATTTGATTGTCCCGCTTCCTCCGCCACCGCCACCTCGTGACCAATCCTCTGCCGGAGCAGGATCGACGGACCCAAACCACATGAAATACACAGGGAAATCGTTGGCCTCACAATTCTTGTACGCCCACAACAAAGTCCGGGCCAAGTACTACCTCCCGGCCCTGAAATGGAACCGGACACTGGCACGTTTCGCCAGGCACTACGCAAATACCCGGCAGAAAGACTGCCTGTTAGAGCACTCCAGCAACAGGGTGTACGGCGAGAACCTTTTCTGGAGCAAGTACGGTCACTGGACCCCGGCAAACGTGGTGAAGACGTGGGCCGACGAGAGCAAGTACTATGATTTCCAGAATAATCAGTGCCTTGACAACCAGCCGTGTGGCCACTTCACACAGATCATTTGGAAGTCCACCACCCGTTTGGGCTGTGGCCGGGTCCAGTGCCTGAATAACAAGGGCTTTCTCTACGTCTGCGCATACGATCCCCCTGGCAATTACTATTTTGAAGGCCCACTAGGTGGCCATTTCAAGAACTCCATTGTCTAAAACTAAACCTCTCTTTTCTTCCATTCGGATTTGTGCATCGCCAAGAAAGAATGAAAGAATTAAAGAAACAAGTTTTGGAGATGCTAATTTATTTTCTGGGCAATTAATTTGTTGAGCATGCCAATTGCCAAACTAATTTAATTTTATGGGTCGGGGTTGTTATGGATCGAGTTGGATGATTATGAGCAGCTTTGATCTTCCATTGACCACTACATTCATGAATATTCTATATTCATGTACCACCACATATACTTATTGTACATTCGTATAAATTTATTGACTATGTTGACAAACCAACATTCTTAAACGTTTCCATTTTTTTTTATTTCCTTCATATGTTTTCTTTTTAATTTGTTTGCGCCATGTAGAGTGCATCCCTTTCTATGGTTGTTCTTTCAATAAAACCAATGGATGCTGACCCAGTCGTTGCGTTTAGAGGTGGCAATTGGATCGGATTCGTGGATTCACGGATTGGATTGGTGGATCCATGGATCAAATGGATTGGATCCAATGGATTGGTGGATTGATCCATGAATCCAAAATGACATCCAAGGCTTGGACCAAAATGTAAATTTTGAAAAGTTTAGGTACTAAAATGTCATAATGAAAAATTTTAGGTACCAAAATGTAATTTTCTAATGATATTTTTCGTATAAAAATATAAATTTTAGGTACCAAAATGTAAAATATAAAAAACATAGGTACCAAATTGTAATTTGCCATTTGGATCCATGGATTGATCCATGAATCCACCAATCCAATTGGATTTGGATGAAATGGATTGGATTTAAATGGATTGGATTAGGTGGATAATTTGGTGGATGGATTGGATTGGATTCATGGATTTGGATCATAATTGCCACCTCTAGTTGCGTTTATTAAGGTTGGTGTGGTGGTTAATGTAGAGAACTGGGAGTTGTTCCTTTTAGAATGCTCATTCAATTTAGTGTCCTTGGCCTTCACCATTGTTCCATGCCAGACGTGCCAGTGGAGGCAAACATGAATTCTTTATGATCTTTGTTTGCGAATCTGGCAAATTATTGCCTTGTTCTCTAACGTTCCGCATGGATTATATAAGATTGATTGTGATTCTCATTGGTTAAGAAACCATCATGCATGGAGCCCCTTAAGTTAAGATTGATTTGTATCAAACCATGGACATCTCATAGCAATGTCAATGTGTTACAAATAATTATTCCAAAACATACGATAAAGAGAATAAGAAAAATACTTCCTTATTAGGTACTCTCTTGATACATAATATAAATGGTTTGGTCTTAGAGATAGGATATGGCTATAGTTTGACCATGATAAGGAGGTCGTCACTTGTTAAAGATTGTTGCATTCACTTCTAGGAATGCAGTAGCACTAGTTGGTAGGGATTCATATTACTCATCAGGCTGTAATATCTTTCGAAACCTTTTACAAAATTTTGTTACTATAGGAGCACAATTGTTGCGGAAATGTGGAATATGTCTTTTTTTTTTAAGAAAAGAAAAAAAAAGCATATATAATAGTGATTTTCTCCTCACATAGCTTCAGTTGTGAAGGAATCCTAAAAAGTGTAGATTTATATTCATTTACATTCTTAAAGTGTTGTAATCATAAGTGCATCCAATCATACCGCATTTTTGGGAGAAACACGATCCTTCATCGTAAGGTAATCAACCTTTAATCCCTCTTGAATGTGATGCCGTAAAAAGATCATGGCTTTAGCCTTATTTTTGCTTGAATGAAGTGAGTGCTAGTGGTAAGTGCTTTAGCCTTATTCTGGCTTGGTATTTCTCCGATTCCTGGTAAGTGCTAGTGGTGTCGAGGTCGATGAAGAGAAGGTGAAGGTGATTCAAGCATGGCCCAACCCTACTAATTTGAATGAAGTGAGGAGTTTTCATGGGTTAGCTGACTTCTATGGATGATTTGTTCCAAATTTCAGCACCATATTCTCCCCATTGCATCAATTATCAAGAAAACTGTGTCGCTTTATTGGGGGAGAAGAGCAAGAGAGGGCATTCGAGCTACTCAAATACAAGCTTACTCATGCTCATGTTCTTATGCTACCGGATTGTAACAAGACGTTTGAAGTGGAGTGTGATGCATCAGGATTGGTAATTGGTGTCGTGTTGATGCAAGAGAAGAAGTTATCGCCTACTTTAGTGAGAAGTTGAGTGCACCTACGCTTAACTATCCTACTTACGATAAAGAGCTATATGCATTGGTTCGAGCATTGGAGACATGTCACCATTATTTGTGGCCAAATTAATTCGTGATTGATACTAATCATGAGTCTCTTAAGTACTTGAAGACCCACCACAAGTTGAACAAGAGGCATGCTCGTCGGTTGGAATTCATTGAGTCATTCCCTTGTGTGATGAAGTACAAGCAAGGAAAGGAGAATGTTTATCTAAGTTATGGTTTGGTTTGTAAACTAAATGGAATTGTAAAAGGTTTTAATCGTTATAATCTTGTGAATGTTTTAAAATATGTATGGGTGTTACATTTTGTGGGTTCGAAAGGATTTTCAGTGTTTTAAAGTCAAGTTGATTCTTAGTCAAGTATGGATTTGGATTTTGATTTGAAGGTGTTATTGATTTCACGTGGAGCCCAGTCAAGGAGGAGACTAAGCAGCCAACCCACCAACCGAGGGATTTCATGGAACCAGGAAAATAATGCCGAGAATAATGTTGAATCTCATAACCAAGAGATCCCTTATAAGAGGGATTATCCAGAGATGTTGAAAATGGGAGCAAAACCCTTTAAGTGGACTGTTGATCCAAAAAGTGGTTTTGGATTGGTTAAAGAAGGTCGAAAGGATTTTTAATGTGCTCATCTGTCCTCGTGATGTTATGTTTGATTATAGGGTGTACCTTCTGAAGGGTGATGCCTATGACTGGTTGCTAACAATTTCAGGAGTAGAGGAAGACACTATCATGAAATCCTAGGATGTGTTTCTACAGCATTTCCGAGCGCAGTATATTTCAGATGTATACTGTGCCCAAAAGAAAGTACATTTTGTAACTCTGAAATAACAGGAAGGACAGTCGGTGAGTGAGTATGAGGCTTAGTTTCATCGCCTACTCACATTTGTAATGGATTTAATCCCGACTAAGCAGAATAAATGTGCACAGTTTCAAGGAGGTTTAAGAGGAGATATCAAGTTCAGGATAACCATATATGACATGGATAATTACGAAAGGTTGAAGGCAGCCGCCATTCGGGCAGGGGCTAATATAAATGAGGAAAAAGCCCGAGAGAGGGAAATCCATGTATATGATCCAAGGAAGAAGAAAAGGAAGTGAATGTCCTAAAAGGTACGGAGCAGGCATCCAGAGTGGAAACTTGACCAGGGAAAGCACACCACAACATCCTTGATGGAGCTCCCCAACAGCAAGCAAGGGAGGGCATACTCAGATGGGTGTTCAACAACCCAAGTGTCCTCATTGCGGGAAGAACCACTTTGGGGTTTGCTGTATTGTTACTAGAGGATGTTTTCAAAGTGGTGATATGGGTCACTATGCTAGAGAATGTCCAATTCGGGGTGATTCTGTACCTGCTAGATCTCAAACCACTATACAAGAGTCGAGAACGGTGAGTAGTGTCCCGAGTGGAAACTTTAGAGGTGGAAACGGTAGAGAAAGAAACCGGATTAGTGAGATGAGGGGCGTTGCCATCGAGCAAACGAAAAGGAATGAAATGAAATCTCCTGTCTTTTCCATGACACGCGGTGAAGTTGAGGTGTCTCCTGAAGTTGTCACGGGTATGGTTCTTTTCCATAGTACCGTAGGTTATGTTTTAGATGATCGGGTTCTAACCACTTATTTGTGTCACGTGCCTTTTCTCATAATTTATAAACCAACTTGAACCCATTATCTAGAAACATGTATGTAAAAACCCTTGTAAAAGATACCATTGAAATTAACCATGTTTACCCCAATAGTTCCATAAGAATAGCTGGAATAGAATTACCTGCTACCCCTATGCTCCTTCAATTTGACAAGTTTGATGTCATATTTGGGAAGAGTGAGAGATGTAGAAAATTAATTTTTTGGAAGAAGGGAAGTTAGAGAACTGATAGTTGTTGAAGAAAAAGACGAGAAGAAGAGTGAAAAATGAAAACAGAATGTGATCTTGGTGTTAAAGGATTATGAACACAAGTGAAGAAAGATTAATATTAGTTTTATTCATAGGTTACTCAAAAATCAAATTAAGGACTAAGTCCAAGGACTATGAGGAAAAAGTGACGTAGAGGGTAGAAGCTAGGTGGTGAACAACATAAATCGTAGGCTCAATACCCCTACTTATTATAAGCAATGTTGTCAAAAACGAGTTTCTACGTAGAAATGTTTTGGTGAAATAAAAGCGTAAAATCGTAATTTTTTAAGTTTTAAAGCAGAGTTTTTAACTATATAAGTTATAAAAACTGAGATTTTGTGTAGAAGGTTTTAATGACTGACTCGCTCTAGCTATCACAATAAAATCCCACCTAAGGTCCAAGTATAAACCTTAGATGGGTGCAATATAGGGAAAGTATGTTTAAATATCAACCCGGGCCGGTCCATGTACCGCTACGTCGACTGTTTGAAACATTATCTAGCGGATCGATTTTGGTGAAAACAAAGATTGAAAACTAAATTATTGTACAAAGGTAAAATGGATTTGACTCTAGTTGAGAAAGCTTCACCCCGGTGTTGCTCCCCATAGCTAACAACTATGACTCGAAGATCGAACGACCATGTGTGGTTAGAGGGTCATAAATCGCAGGGAATTCTAACAAGAAACCAAAGTTACCCTCTTAGATTCTAGGTTGAGGAATGGGATACGATCCAAGCCACTGATGTGACCCTCTCAACCTATCGACTAAGGATTAGTTAGACTTCACCCTCGAATTGGAGTTCGGACGGCCACCCACAACCAAACCCTAAGGGTTTAATACGAATTATGAGGTTTGCCCTCTAACTAACCTTGACTACGAGGCTAGAATGCCCAAAGAAACCCATCTCTAGAAGAGCCTCTTAATTTAAGGGGGGTTCTCTCTAAACTAGGATAGAATGGCAATTATATTGATAGGCTTTCACACAACACAATCATTTCTGAGTAAAACCTCCACATTCACATTAAAACACATCCACACACAAATCATTCAATTTGTACAAGCATTCAAATACTTATAGCGAATTACAAACACCCAAGTGAAATAAGGGACTACTCCATGCTAGGAGAAAGGAAAACATAAAAGAGGGAAAGGAAAACAATCATGACGAGGCAAGCCTTGCTCCTTGTGCTGAAGAAACCCAAATCCTTGCTTGGAGATCAAACCCTAGCTTTTCCTCTTCTTTGGTTCGTCACTTTCTCACTCTAAAATCCGAAGAAGGAGAAGTTTTCTCATTCTAAGTCTCTTCCTCTCTTCTTCCTTTCAGCTCCACACTTAAACCCAGATCGAGCTGAGTTCACGGCCGTGAACACCTAAACGCGTTCGTGAACTCAGTGACTTAGAGATCGGGAACTGCCTGGTCCCTAGTAACCTCTGGAACCCTCCTGGACACCTCGCTGTTTACAGTTTGTGGTTATAGTTCAAGACCTTAGAGGCCGTGAACTCCAGCTGATTCCTCCTCTTTGCCCGGTCTTCGCTCCATTTCTTCCAACTTTCGAATTCGGGGTTAGTTTCACCAGTTAGGATCTGACACGCTAAAACACAACACCAAACTGTGGCCAAGTGTAATCACATAATGGAAATTCACTATAGTGGAATAGAGTAATAAATGTCAACCCAAGGCCTAGATGTATCACCTACTCAGTGATTATCTATTATCTAGTGGGAAAGTTTAGTGAAAATGATTTTAACTAAAGTAGAAAGAAAGCAGTAAATTGTCCGGTTTCCTAAACAAGAGAAGAGTCACTCGGGAATGAGTCCCCCTAGCTCCTTAGTTAGGTCCAAGTTGTAATTTCCTTAGGTTGATTTATTGTTACGTTGATTAAATCGGGGAAGATCCGACACTATCTTGGAATTTCTTAAGTTGACCAAGCCCTCTTAGACAGACTAACCAGCAGACGACTAGTCTGCACCGGGATAGAAAGCTAACTCTCCTGAATTGACTAACTCTCGTATAATCAATTCACTCCTATCGATTGAAGAAGCTCTAACAACCTATTCAGATTCTTTCTATCACAGGTTGCAGCAGAAATCAAGAGAGGTTGATCAGGATTCAATTGACTCAATAAACACACTTCAATCGATTATAATCAAACAGTATATCAATCCAAAAGTCATTACAATCATGATGCCTAACACATGGAACTAGGTTTCTTCATACCCAAGTGAGAGAAAGTTCTACTCCATAGAGAAAGAGTTGAAAACAACAATCAGAGGAATCATACTTATAATGATGTATAGGATAAGCTTTGGGATGATAATCTTCACTCCAAGGACGAAATCCAAGCTTGATTGATGAAACCCAGCTCCAGAAATGATCTTAGGGTTTGTTCTTCGCACTTTCTCTCTCTAAGGCTCTCTTTTGCTCAGAAAATTCGATCCCCCACTCAAAGACCCGAAATTGGGTTAAAACCCAGAAAATCACGACCACACGGTCGTGTGGAATCCTTATGTGCCCGTGCAACTCGCCAAAATGCGACGTTTGATTAAGTGACATGGAATACGCTGCACGGCCAGAACTGCATGGTCGTGTGAAAATTCAAAAAGCCCGTGTGGAGTCTCGGTAAATCTCACACACCCAAAAAGGGCACTTGCATGGCCTGTACCGCCTTGACCGTGCAAAAGGACGCTTCACGCTCGTGTGACAATATGGTTAGGCTGTGTAGTTGACTCTTCTTTCCATCTACTGTCCAAACTTCGTCCAATCAACCCCGAACTCGTGCACAAGCCTTCATCCACGTACTAGGACGTGAAATATCACAAACAAGAACACCATAGCGTGAAATTGGCCTAAAACACGAGAGACGAGGGTCAAACCGTATAAGAATAGTGGACAAAAACATGTGTAAATATCGACTCATCAATTCCCCCACACTTAACTGTTTGCTTGCCCCCAAGCAAACCAAGTCAGACACAAGGTAAGCTCAAACAATTTTAAACATGCAAATTCGGGGACATATCATTTGGGCACAAAGCACGTGAATCTCTGGATTTTAGACCTCAACACATGGACAACCTCAACGGTAACCTAGAAAACTACCAGAGATGACATTCGAGTGCAGCAAAATCGAGTAAAGGAAGAGTCTCCCTTCTGTTCACCAACCAATATAGACTCGACTTAACCACTTATTCAAGATAGTCACCTCATGCATAAAAATCAAGACATCAGAATCAAGACCGAACAATCTAGGTCCTCACCGGGGTAAAGAATGTAAAGAGTATAAGGAAATGAATCGCTCACTCTCGACCAGTGAGGTCAAGACAATTTGATGCAAAAAATGCGCATGCTTATTCTCTCAATCCTATCATCTCTTCACCATGATGGCAGCCTCTAAATGCTAGAGTTCACATATCGGATGTAACCACTAACTAGCCAAGAGGTCTTAGACACGGGTTTAGATGACTGGCTACGGTCTTGGACATGGGAGAAAGGCCTTTAAGGTGGTGGGAGAATTCATAGCACATGGTTCCACAGTTCCAAAACCAACAAAGTCAAAATCATTCAAACCAATTACTTTCTTTCTGCCATTCTGCATTAATCACTTTCTTTAGAGCACAAAAGTGAAGGAGGTCACAATGTGTTAGTATTTCTAAGCCAGACTGCTAAGAAACACTATTTAATGGGCATGATTCAGGTTTTTGTGGTGGCTCTCTTTTTTTTTTCATTTTTTCCCTTTTCTTTAGATAACCACCAGTTTTACACACTTATATCCTTGCAAGCACATGCCCACTTTTTCATTTAAGAATTACCTCCAACTCTCATATTATTTCCAACAGAAAACATGCAAAAACCACTATGTAGAACCTCTAAGAGATGCAAAGGGTGATTTTTCATTGTAGATCGAAAGAAGGAAAGTTACACGGCTCAAAGGGGTTGACTAGTGGTATGAGTATGACACACCGGGACAGTCAATTTGGTCATGGGTTATCCTATGCCTCCATCATCCTTATTAGTGACAACGTGAATGCTACACATCATGGAAAAGGGATCTATCGCACAAGAAAGAAACGAGCAGACTCAAATCTCACATGGCTGTCTATATTCTCTATCTCTCATTCTGATTCCCTAAACTAGATGCACGAACGACTATAGAAAATAACTGATCAATCCAAGTCACAATTGGTAAGCAAACAGTTGAAACACTAAAACCCTACACAATTCTACTACACATCACAGCCATCATTATAGGTCATCATAGTCACAATCAAGTTGTCATGCATCAATTCTAACAGCCATTCGATTCACCACATACCACAGTGCCCATATGATTATGCAAGCAACAGTACTTGGAGCCATCAAATCTCGAGATTTGGACAGTGGACTAGGCTCCAATCACACAAACTCATCTAATCAGTCAAAGAGAAACACCCCCACACTTAAACATGACATTGCCCTCAATGCGGCAGAGAGAAAGATAAGGGGAACGATGTTACCGGGAAAACGGACTGTCGGGGGACAGGAAATGGGACTAGTCATTAGGGGCAGTTTGGAAGGTGTACCAGTTTCTGCAAGAGAGTATCACAAACAAAAACCACTAGAACATTATGCGTTAGGGATAAGTGTCAGCCTAGATGGGCACAAGACAAAAATCCAAAAATGAAAACACACAAATGACGCAGTTCAGGCTTCGCACACAGATGGAGCAAACAAAATTACTAAAAAAACACACAAAAACACTCAAAGGGCCGACGAGTACAAACTACACATGGCCGAGGTCGTCGAAATTGATGTCCGCCATGAACGCATCGTCACCGGCTGGCTGGGGTGGATGTGGGGAATCCTCCCAAGGAGTCCTCTAGACTGGCGGGGCGCCCGGAACTAGATCTAAATGGTGCTGCTGGACCTCATGCATCCAGCGAGCCCAGCTCTACTCGCGCTCGATGTGGGCAAGGGTGATGCCCTGCTAGGCCTCCATACGCTCGAGGCGCTCATCATAGTCATCCATACGGTGGTATACTCGGCCTGGTGGGTCGAGGAGCTGCTAGTTCTGAAGACTCAGCAGCTGGAACTGGTCGAAAGCGGCCGCAAACTCGTGGTAGACCTTATTGTGCACAGCCAGCAAGCGGCGGCATGGTCGATTGCGAGCAATAGCATGGAGGGCATCATAGCAGTTAATCTTCTGGAATTCTCTCTTGCTCCAGCAATGATGCTTCCCGAACTTAGCCGCCAGGACACGATTGAATTGATCCTTGTGGGGTCTCGACCTTAAATCACTGATGAACCAATGCCTAAGGTTTGGCTTTGACATGTTCTTGCCAGAAAGTGAACCAAAGTGGAGCCAAAAGAACCATGGGAAAGGTCAATCACACCCCCACGCTTAATAACAGAAAACAGCCAAACCATAGTTTCATCTATAGTTCGGGGGTTAATAACTCGAGCAAAATAGTGCAATCTGGGTGGGGGTGCACATCAACAAAATAGTAGGCAACTTAAGGTTCACATCCATAGCAAACACACCATCGGATCACATCATTAAGGGCCCCAACCAGCTCCCACAATATGGTATGAAAAAATGGCATTTCACCGAACACCTTGTGTGTACTATTCAAGTAACCATAAAATAGATGAAGTCTTAGCACACATGGGCTCAGTCAACTAAGGACAACATACCACAACACATTCAACACCTAAACCAAGCCTTCCCCTTGATCAATTGCAATCAAATCACACATTTCAATTCGATTCTCTACCTATATAACCTAACACCCAATTCTCTACAAATCACAAGGTAAAGGGCAAAATCAAACCCGGAGACACAAGTAGAGGTGTAGGGTAAGATGAGGGGAAGGCAATAAAAGCGACGAAACGCCAAAATTTTGCTTGGAAAAGCTCGTCGAAGCCTCGCCAGAAATAGCCTCCGGCGACCCATATTCGGCCCAAACGCCCCAAAATGAAGGGATATGCCGGCAAGGAGGAGGGGAGATGGAATAGGAAGTTGGTTTTGCGAAAAACAGTCAAAAAATCACCAGAAAATCGCCAAAACAATGAAAAGTTGCGGTTTTCCGGCGAGTAAAGTTTACAAATGGGGCTTCACGGCCGCGCAACCCCTTTTATAGGCAAACATGGCTGCTGAACGAGCATGTCGTAAGACCGTGTGGGTGCAAAGCCTACCTTTGCGCGATCGAGGATTTGGTACGGGCTGGCTGAGAAATCCACACGGCTATGTGGGGTGCACTTTTGCCAGTACCATATTTCAAGGGGCTACAAACGGGCAAGGTGAAATTCCACGCGGCCGTGCAGAATTTTGGCCTTGCCATGCATAACCCCTGAGACCGGATTTCGACTAGTTTTCGCAAAAATGAGGCATCCAAACCTTCGACAGCACCTCATGACTCAACAAACCAAACATTAAAAAGGAAAAGGAGAGGAAATGCAAACCATGGTGGGTTGCATCGCCACAAGCGCTTCTTTACCGGCTTTTAGCTGGACGCCGATAGAGGAACTAAGGGTCCTCGAGCTTGATCAGCAGCTCTGAACGCTCCACATCACCTCCCATATACAGCTTGAGGAGGTGGCCATTCACCTTAAACGGCTCAGTTTGAGCATTGCTAATCTCCACCGCACCATGCGGGAACACCTGGGTGACCATGAATGGTCCCGACCACCTTGAACGCAGCTTGCTTGGGAAGAGTTTCAAGTGTGTTATAGAGAAAACGCGATCACAAACCTTAAACTCCTTAGGGCCCTTCAACCGAGCGTCGTGGAGACGCTTGGTTCTCTCCTTGTAAAGCTGGTCATTCACATAGGCGTGGTAACACCATTCCTCCAACTCCAGCAACTGCAGCTTACGTTCAGTACCTGCAGCACTCAAATCCAGGTTTAGCAGCTTAAGGGCCGAGAAGGTCTTGTGCTCTAGCTCAACCGGCATATGACAAGCCTTTCCATAAACAAGCCAATATAGCGAAGTACCAATCGAGGTCTTGTATGCTGTCCTATATGCCTAGAGAGCATCATCGAGCTAGGTGGACCAATCCTTTCGAGATTGATCCACCATCTTATCAAGTATTCGCTTAAGCTCTCGGTTCGTCAGCTCGGCTTGACCATTTGTTTGGGGATGGTAAGCCACCGACACCTTGTGTGAAACATCATAGCGAGAGAGGAGTTTAGAGAATTGCCCTTGAACCGAACCGAGAGAACAGTTGCTTAAAAAATAAGCAGACACGTCTTGCATCATTGGTGGGCATTTCTTGAGCTTTTGCCGACGTTGAGACGTAATCCACTGCAACCAGTATATATATATATATATATATATATATTACCTAAAGATGGAGGGAATGGGCCCATTAAATCGATGCCCCAAACATAAAAAATTTCACAAACGACAGATATATGTTGGGGCATCTCATCCCGGGAAGAAATGTTACTTGACCTCTGGCAATGGTCGCAATATCGTGCAAAGGTATCTGCATCCTTAAAGAGTGAGGGCCAATAAAAGCCCGACTGGAGCACCTTCCGTGTTGTGCTGTTCCCGCCATGATGACCGCCCGTGGGTCCCTCATGACATTTAGATAGTATGTCTCCCATCTCGTCCTCCATGACGCATCATCGGATCACGCCATCTGCTCCGATCCTGAAGAGGTAAGGATCCTCCTAGAAATAATGCTTCAGGTCGGAGAAGAACTTGGGCTTGGCGTGAGTGGCCATCCTCTTAGGAAAATGTTTGCCCACAAGATAATTGGCAAAATCAGAATACCAAGGGGTGACGCTCTCCACCAAGAACAACGCCATCAATCGCTCACTCGGGAAGGAGTCGTTGATCTCTTTAACAAAGTTGTCCGCTGGTGGAGCTTCCAATAATGAAAGATGATCTACAGCAACATTCACGGCTCCCTTTTTATCCCGGATCTCAATATCGAACTCCTGCAGCAGCAGGATCCAGTGGATGAGCCTAGGCTTTGCATCGGCCTTGCTCATCAAGTAGCGGATGGCAGAGTGATCTTTGTAGACCACCACATGGGAGAGCACTAGGTAAGGTCGGAACTAGTCGAATGCATACACCACGGCGAGCAGCTCCTTCATAGTGGTGGTGTAGTTCTCATGTGCATCGTTCACGGTCTTCGACGCGTAATAGATGGGTTGGAAGTGTTTCTCGCGTCTCTGCCCCAGAACAGCTCCGACTGCATAGTCACTGGCATCACACATCTAATCAAAGGGGAGAGACCAATCACGAGTCACCATGATGGGTGCATGGGTAAGCTTCTTGTTACACCCCGATCTTGCCAAAAGTCAAAATGACTATTATACCCTTGGGGGAAATTCGTCAAATTCAATCGTAATATCGATGAGGACTAAAAATGCGAACTCTTGGTTCAAACGGTGTCGAGTTAATTGAGTTGCGGATTAAACTCATCCATAATTTGTGAAATTCCCAAAATACCCCTCGATTTAATTAAACCCCAACCCCAACCCTAATCTCAAGCTCCACTCGGCAACACTCAAACTAATTAAAACCCTACGCAGCCTTTCACCTCTCCACCGAAAGTAAGGGACTCGGGAAATCAAAAGCAAATGGGGGCCATCGTCCGATGGAGGCAGGAGCATTTCATCCCCTCTACTACGAGAGCTTCTTGGTTAAGCAAGCTCGTCCCCTTGTATAACTATTGCCGCCCTGCCATGTGAACGCTGGGGGAAGATAGCAAGCATGAGGTGGCTTGCTTTTGGGAAATCAAGGCGGCTTGATTATTGCTGTCTCTGTATGGTTCAAAGTTGGGATTCTCGTGGGATAGCTAGCGAGTCACGTCCGTCCAAATAAAGAAGCAAGCAGCTCCATTATTGGGAAGCAAGAAGCGGCGAAGGCTTACCAAGGAGAAGCAGCCAACGAGGTGGAAAGAGCAGCTTGCTTCCTCTCCTACTATGAGAGTAGCTTGCTTAAGCAAATTGGTCCATTTGATTCAACCACATGCGCAACTTGCTCCACGATAATGACCAAAGCAAGCTGGTCCATCATTGGTCCATTTAATTCCAATTGTGCCAAGCAAGCTGCTCCTTCCAATTGTGCCAAGTACGAGTGTAATAAGTTGGAAGCGAGTGGAGCAAAATAAGAGCAGTTACGAATGGAGGAAAGGTGAGTGTAAAGGGGGTAAATTCTACGCCTTACGTATTCTTTTAAGTATTATGATTTTGAGTATTTTAGCGAATTCGTTACCGTTGCTCGGTTATGTCTATGGTTGCTTATTTGTGCTTTGCTTGAGCTATGATTTGAGGTGACTTTGTGCTATTTGAGGTGATTTTTTGCTGTTTACCTTAAAGCGTTATGTTTGAGCATGGTTAAAGTTTAAGAAACAAGTTTCTTTTTAAGAAGTAACTCACCTTCAAGAAGGTGAAGTCGTTTTAAGTGTTTTTAGTCACTAGCGCCAGTCCGTTGCCATTTGAGATTTTCAGATAGAGCAGCAGTTATGCTCTTGAGATCTTTGAGACAGAGCAGCAGTTATGCTCTTGAGAATTGTGGTGAAGAGCCACCACGATAAGTTTAAGATGTTAGGGGGATGAATCGTTACGACTCCCTTAACTAAGTTTAAGTTTAAGGAAAGCCTTGATGGCTTCTCATACGTATGAGTTGGCAACCGGACTAGCTAGTGAGTATTTAAGTCAAGATTTGAGTTTTAAGAGAGGAGAGTAACTTCAACTCCGTCAAAGTTTAAGAGTTAAGATTTTAAGATTGGAAGTACAAACAACTTCCACTAGTTAAAGTTAAGTGTTTAAGTAAAGTACTCAAGTATTAGAATTATTAAAACGTAAGAGCGTAGACTAACCCAAACTCACTCACCAGGCCTTAGTAAGGGAATGAGCGAGAACCAGTTCGAGAGGAAAAGTTCGAGAGCAACGATAGAGACTACCTAGTTATTTACATTTTATGATTATGAGTATAGACTGGAGAACAGATTGAGATTTAAAGTTTGAGTTTAATTTGCCCACGTGTTAGGGCTTTGCTCTGAACTACAAGTGCGTGTCTTTTCAGTATTTTATTTATGAAAATTTTTCCCACTGCAATTTAAGTTTTGAGCATTTTATTTATCAAGGGCATTTTGGTAAAAGTAGTACCCGGCCGGGTTAGGGTGTTTCACTTCTCCTTCAAGGTCTCGAATGCAGCTGTGCACTCTGAAATGAACTGAAAGGTTGCATCCTTCTCGAGCAGTTTGGTCAATGGCAAGGCTATCTTTGAGAAGTCCTTAATGAACCTCCTGTAGAACCCTGCATGACCCATAAAATGGAGGATCCTCCTCACAAAAATAGGAGGAGGTAGCTTACTGATCGTCTCAATCTTTGTGTGATCCACCTCCATCCCCTGCTTGGAGATCTTGTGCACGAGCACAATCCCCTCATAAACCATTAAATGGCACTTCTCCCAGCTGAGTGCCAAGTTAGTCTCCTCGCACCTCTTCAAGACAAGTTCCAGGTTATGGAGACAATGAGTGAAAGAGTCTCCATAAACCGAGAAGTCGCCATGAAGACTTCCATAATCTCTCCAACCAGTCGTTCGAATATCGCCAGCATACGCCGCTGGAAGGTCATTGATGCATTACATAGCCGGAATGGAATCCTCCGGTAAGCAAAAGTATCGAAGGGGCAAGTGA